AATCTCATTTCAAACCTTTGTTTTACTCAGAAAAACACATTTTTCATCCAGATGTTTTCATTTTCTTTGTGTCAACATTAATTTAAACAGATGATGCCCTTGATCTAATTGGCAGGCCGTTATTGGTTTTATTATTATAAAGATTTCAGGATTTCTGCAGCCCGTCTGATACCAGTGATGCTTTCCTGCAGTATATTATGAAAGCAGACGGCAGTCTGCTGCCATAAATGATCCCACCGAGTCTGGCCGTTGCCTGTGGTCTGAGGAAGACGAGTTAAATTTTCTATTAAGAGCAGAATAACGGGGATTTATTGAAAGAGCCACAGGGGACGAGTCTGTTTGTTTTCCAAGAGCTGGCGAGCATCGCTTTCTCACAGCTAATGATGCCCCTTTGCTTGCACAGCCTCAAAGACTCACCCTCAGCGCAGAGCGTCAGACCCACAGAGCGAGTCGTGTGTCTGATTATCAGCGAGGATCTCCACATGTTTACATTGTGGGCCAGTTATTCTGGAGACCAACTTTAAAACCGTCAGCAGCAGGCGTCTGTTTCCAGTTTTGGAAAGCAGTCGTGTTGAATCCCCCGTTCGCTGCCGGCTCGGCTGCACACGGCACACGGCTACGTTAGCGCCTAGCTGGCACGGAGAGATAATCATGGAGCAGCTGAAGAGCCATTTATTTTCCTCAGGAGCTGTTTTAAGAAGCTGAGCCAAGACGGAGAGCGAACACCGGTGGCCCGGATCGCGGATCCAAAATAATGCTCCATTTCTGCTAATAGCCTGGAAATAGAATCACAGGCTTTGTTTTTTTCTCCCAGTGACTCCAGTCCGCCCGGTGTTGTGCTTAATAACAGAAACGAGCAGAAGTTTGGCGGCTGCAGACATGATGACTCGTCCACCGCCGTCCGTCAGCCTGTCCTGGACTCGCTCTGCCTTCCAGTGGCAACGAATCGATTAATGAAGAACAGAATCCGGAGAGAAGGTTCCAGCGCCAGCGGAAACATGCTCTCAGGTTTTATGACCAATGAATGTAAATTTCTGTTGCACTGTTGACCTCTGACTCTAAATCCAGTCGGGGGAAAAGATTTGCTTTCTGCTATGAAGAACAGGTCGAGAATTATCACCAGAAGACAAAAAGACGAGATTCAGACGTGACTTCTGCGATAATTTTTTACATTTCTCTCCTTATGTACAGTTCCTACAGAACGTCTTCACCTCTCTGGGTGTTTTCTCTCTTTATTGATTTTTAACATTGAATCGTGGTCAATTCAACTTTAACGACAGTTCACAAACCTGCAGCCAGTCGGTGCTGGAAGGCCCACAGCTAGTCAGTAAAGGTCATCTGAGGTCATCTGAGGTCATCTGAGGTCATCGTAGTATAAAGACTGGTGTATCTGGGAGGTCCAGTCACTGGTGGATCAGAACTCCTGGATAGAACTACACCATGAAGACTGAAGAACACTCCAAGAACTCTGGAAAAGGTTGTGGAGAAGCATCAGTCAGGGGATGGATATGTGAAAATGTACAAGTTAGTGAACATCTCTGGAGTCCAGTTAAATCCATCATTAAGAAATGGAAGGAACATGGACCACAAGTAGATCTGACTAGAGCAGGACGTCCTCAGAGACTGAGTGACCGAGCAAGAAGGAGACTAGTGAGGGAGGCCACCATGACTCCTATGACTCCTCTGAAGGATGCACTAGAACCTGTTCTTCACCATCAAAGCTTTATGGGAGACAAAGAGAAAGACTCTATTGGAAAAAGCTCAGATTAAATCTGGACTAGAGTTCACCAGAAGACATGTGGAGACTCTGAAGTCACCTGGAAGAAGGTTCTTTGGTCTGAGGAGACCAAAAGAGAAGCACGGTGGTGGCAGCATCATGATGAAGCACGGTGGTGGCAGCATCATGATGAAGCACGGCGGTGGCAGCATCATGACGTGGGGATCTTCTCAGCAGCAGCCTGGAAGGCTTGTGAAGGTAGAGGGTGAATGAATGCAGCAGAGTGTAGAGAAATCCTGGAGGACAACCTGATGCAGGAGAACTGAGACGTGGAGAAGACTTGTTTTACATCAAGGAGCCGAAGCAAACAGCCAAAGCTCCACAGAGATGGTTTGAAGACAACAAGGTGAAGTTCTGGAGGCCCATTCAGAGTCCAGACCTCAGTACAACTGGACTTAAAGTTCTGTTCACTCCTGATCCCTGTGGAACCCGACAGAGTCTGAACAGTTTCATCAGAATGAGGTGAAGCTGCAGCGTCCAGATGTTCAGACTGATGGAGCCCAACAGGATCAGTGATGGAGCTGAAGGTCCATCTCCTGAACACTGACAGGAGGTTAACATGCACTCACTTATTTTATATGTTAATTGGTTGACATTACTTTATAGAAATCTGTTAATTTTAAAGAATCTTTTTTTGTAGATTCTTGCCCAGGAAGCCAAATTAAATCGACTCGGTGTTGAAAAGCAGTAAAAAGGGCAGAACTTCCAGGGAGGTGAGCTCTGTTTATAGCCTCTGTATTTTCTTTTTTAACTGTCTTTTTAATTTTTCGCTGCAGAACTGTGCTGCATAATGAAAATGTCACACATTGTGACAGTCTGGGCTGGAACTCTATTTATTTCCAAAATGTCAGCCTGCCGCTGCGTTTCGTCACCTGGCTGGATGCTTCTCTGACATTATCTGCCGGCTTGTTGGAGGGTTTCATCAGCTCCAAAGGTTGAATCGAACTCAGAGTTGAATACAAACAGCTGAAAGTTTCCTCGGCGCTGCAGCTTCCTCTGGATGTTCAGACGACGAGCCTGACAGACGGATGAGGAATCGATTCTGGACGGTTTTTTTGTGCTGCTCCTGAGAAGTGAGTCAAACGCGCCGTGGGCTGCCGTCGGTTCGCTCAGCTTCCGGGTTTGCCGCTGAGACTTTCATCCCGTCCACGCCGGCTGATTCACTGATGCAGGTGCTGCCAAACGGACCTGGGAGGCCGCTGACGGGCCTGCTCCACACCGGCCTCGTGGACTCGCTCACATCCGCTGTCAGGAAGCAGCAGGAACCCACAGAGGACACGGAGCCGTGATGCGTTCACAAAAACAACTCCGTCTGTCAGAAGCTGCTCTGATGGTTGCAGGTTTCTGAGCAGCGCTCAGAGAAACGTAGCGTGAAGCTAAGCTGCAGCTGCAGGAGGCTGTCAGGGAGCGTGTTAGCATCATGCTAACGCGCTAACAACAACAACAACAACAACAACAACAACAGAGATCAGCTGACTGCGGTCATCGTCTGTCTGCACGGTTTTATCTCACAGGTTTGATGTGTCGTTAAATTACAGATAATAACTAGAAAATGAATTTAGATGCTGAAACAACACGTTTCCCCCGAACACTGACAGTGATGTCGTCCATAGATACATGCAGACCTGATCACTGATATCTGCACCGTCATCGATCAATAACCAATAAATCAACAACACCAGCTGTAGTTTGTGTCTTCTGTCATTTTTCATGTAATTTCTGTCATTTTTTGTGGTTGTTTTCTGATTTTTTTCATGATGCTGTGCCTCCTTTGTGTCACTGTGTGTTTTCTATTATTTGTTGTTTATTTTTTGTCGTTTTTATGTCGTTTTGTGTTATTTTGTGTCGCTTTTCTCTTTCTGTTTCGTTGTCTAATAGTTTTCTCATGTTGTGTCTTTGCGTCTGCTTTGTTCCATCCTGTGTCTATCTACCCGGTCCTGCAGCGCCATTAGCTCTGGTCTTTAACAGTATTTCAGTGAAACCAGACGCTGTGTGTTTAATGTATTCCAGCTCACAGACTTCATCACATAATCTTCCATCGGAGGTATTTTTCTGACCTTCTGCAGCTTCCAAACGTTTCGCTGCTCCGTGGTTTGATGGATGAGCTCGTAACCGTTCTAAACACTCAGACGGGCCCAAAGACAGAACGCGGATCCTCCCGAGAGGACCGGACGTGGCTCCTTTTAACGGATTCAGAACCACAGCCAGCTGTACCTGGGCTCTGATGGGTTTTGCTCTCCTGACCCGATGGGCCATTCCTTCCCGTTTTTCTCATTACCTCCCCGTGTGCTCTGATGAATGACGTATTAAATAACAGCCTTCTCTCTCTCTGCTCGCTCCACAGTTCTTCATCCTCCTCCTGCTCATCTTCTTCCTGGAGATCCTGTCCATCATGCTGTTCTTCATCTACCAGGACGAGGTAAGATTGCCGCCTGCTGCACGCCGTCCTGTCGTAGCGACGGGAATGTGTGATCTGCTGAATGCTGATGTTCCCGTTTAGCTGTTGAGTTTGTCGGATGTTCTTTGGGGGTTTTTGCACAAATGTCTTCATGGTTTCTTAATTAAATCTTAATTCATCATCTCTTTTGGATGGTTTGCTCATAAATAAAGGCGTCAGGCAGCAGAGAAAAGGGCGAGCCCTCCCTCTGTAATCCCTCCACAGGATTTTAATCATGCATCCAGTGGATATGCTGCTAAACTCCACCCGTCTCCGTCTTAATTACGGGTTCGGGGGCTGGATTTCAGATTAATTATCACAACGAATGCGTCACATTGTTCGTCGTGTCATCAAACCCCGAAGACTCGCGTGAGTTCCGTCTTTTCTTCTGAGCCTCTGTGGAGGACAACAAGCATCCTGACAATGGGGTATTAGTCGGACTTCATGAGATTAGTGAGATTACTGGAGCGCCGAAATTACATCCCAAAAAATAAGTCGGGGTTAATGCCACCGAGTGCTCGTTTAAAACGCGGCGCTGTCCCGTAAAAACCACAAAAACGAGACGAGGACGCTCTGACACATCAATTAAAACTACAATTAGAGTCGGAACAAAAGGGCCTGAACCTTCGGCGGGGTTCGGATCAAACGTCCAAACAGTCATCTCAGTTAAATTAGCCGTGAAATTAATCTGCGGTCAACAAGGCGAGAAGTGACGAACGCCGAACTTTAAGGTTCGTTAAAACCCTTCTTTTGTGTTTTAGAAACTTGGAGGTGTAAAAAAAAAAAAAGCTGTAAAACTATGATGACAGGTGTTGCTACCATCCTCTCAGCTTCACACATCAGAATCCGATCCAGTTCTACTCATGAACCAATCATCATCCAGCTCTGTGTAGCCCCGCCCCCTCACTGCCTCCAGGTGAACCAATCAGAATGAGCCTCTCAGTCCACCAGCTTTATCGACCTTCTACAGCTGCTTCTTCTAAAACGTCTGAACCACAATCAAAACTCACCAAATTAGTCTAAAATTAATCAAAAGCTTTCCAAAATGACTCCAAACGTGTCCAAAATTACCCAAAATGTGTTTAAAATGATTAAAAAACTGTCCCAAATGACAAAAACTCGTCCAAATTGTCCAAAATGAATTAAAAACTGGCTGCAAGAGTGAAAACCAGAGTCGTTGTTCAACCAAACTTGCACAAAATGACGTGAAAATTGTTTCAAAATGACTCAAAACGTGTCCACAAGGACTCAAATCATGTCCAAAGATTGTCCAGATGGACTTTAACTTTAAAAAAAAATCACCAAATGTTCTGCTGTTAGAGTGAACACAAGAGTCTTCATGCACTCAGATTTGGCAAAAATAATTTAAAAATTAAACTCAAAACTTGATCAAAATAAATCAAAATGTGTTCAGAATGGCTCAATATTAAAATTTTAATTTAACTGTAAGTGGCAGAAACTGAAACCAGAATATTTGAGCATTTCTGTGGAAGAAAAAACAAAAGACACAACTTTAAATCTGATTATTTTCCTTTGACCGAGCGGCTGATTGTGATTAAACCGTCTGAGTTAAAACGTTTCTATGAAGTGAGAGCAGCTCGATGTTAAACATGTTTCTACCGTGAAGCTCCTCAAACGTCCTTCAGTGAATTAATCATGTATGGTTTATACATAGCGCCCCCTAGAGGCCGGAGCTCCTCATAAATCAGCACAAGCCTCTTTACTCCATTATTCATGTTCTGGGACAGAGTTGATCTCCACAGACTGAACCGAGGTCAGGTCCACCGGTCCTGAGTTCTGAGGAAATAAACAAACGTCCTCCTGCGACGTCTACATC